TAGAGTACTGTGGACTATGCTGATAAGGTTCTGGCCACCTTCCGAAGGAATGTCCATGAGGTTAAGACTTAAAGGACTCTCTTGGACGATGCTGATGAGGTGCTGGTCACCTCTGGAGTCGGCTTACCGATCATCCATGGCCTCAAAACGAGTATTCTGTTTCTTTGAGTGCAAATACGAATAGTCTGTCCTTGGTCCTTGGTCCTTGGTCGTCCCAACCGGATGGACATTCACTCCGAATTCCTCTCGCCAAACTTCAGCGAATGGCGGGACGCCCTTTGTTGCGGGGCGACAAACCCGTAATGATCTTTGCGAAAACTTTCGAAATTCAGATTCAAATGTTTCGCAATCAAAACTTAAGAGACTTTTGCCTTAATTTTGTTGCCCAGCATTTCATTTTGTTTTTGACTTTGGCTTCGGTCATAAAACCAAGTTCAAAACGCGCGAAGACGGCGGATGGCGGGATGGTTGGGTTCGGGATGGGCTGGGATGGGCCGGGAATGGCCGGGGAGCATGGAATATGGCATGACCCGCTGCACTAATGTCACACTCTCACAGAGACTCAAGTGCAAGCGCACACACACACACATGTATACAGGGACGTATACAAATGGATTCAGGCAGTCTGCCAGACGACATCGTGGAGTATTTCTCAACTCAAGCAGCGCCAAATGCAAACAAACAAACAAAGTTAGCGCTTGCATATGTGTGCATGTATCTGTGTATCTATGTGTGTGCAAATGTAAAGCATAAGATAGACAATTACACTTCTGCCACTGCCACTGCGGCGCAGAGCGTGCGAGGGTGCAGCAGCAGAAACAGCATTTAGATAAACGCTAAAAGGTAAATGAACTTTATCAACCGAGCAAGAAACGAGGTGTACACACACACACACACACACACACACACACACACAAATACACAGATACACACAGATACATAACTGCAATTGCAACTCATTGTGTGCCCCCCCGCTCCGCCACCGTGTAGGTGTGCCCCTTTGGGGCAGGACGGGCAGGCATCCTTTTGCGTTTTTGGCTTATGAAATTGAATTGCTGCATCTGTATCTGAGTGTGTGTATCTGTGTGTGGTATTTCCAGATCTTTTGGGAACTTGTGGAGTGTTGAAAGCGTATATCTATACAATTTATAAATAATAAATCAACAGTCTACCTCCTACCCCAAGCACCCCATTATGTGGCATGCATTTTTCATTTTATTGTTTAAAGAAAAGCACAGGCCAGTCTTTAGGTGGAATCTTTTGGAATCTGTTGCTGTTTCTATCAAAAACCCTCCTCCAGGAGTGCCCTGCCCCGCCCCGCCCTGCCTAAAATTTGTACAAATTCTACTTCCTAAATATATAGAAATCTGCACATTCCATTCCACCCCAGAGACATCCATTATGTGTTCCATATACCCATATCCTTAAATGCATATCTTTTCCATTTTCAAGTTGACATTTCAGCTGCAAGCGAGTACGAGTAGGAGTAGCGAGTGGGAGTAACGAGTAGAAGTACAGGCGGCCAAAATGGTACAAAAATATATGCAAAAATTCAAAGAAAATAAAAAATAAAAGAGAGGAGCCCAGAGTGGAAGTGGAAGTGGAAATGGAAGTTGAACAAACGACAAACAGAGTGAAATGCAGATGCAGCTGGCAACAGATTTTCCCTCCGACTGCAGTAATAAATGATAAACAAGTGCAAGCTGGCCAAACGGGCGTGACTCTGGGCCTCAACGACTGGGTTTTTGATATTGAAAACTGCTGCTGCTGCTGCTGCTGCTCCTGCCACTCATGGTTCCACTCCTCTGTAATCCCTTCGTCCTGGTTCTGGTTCTGGTTCTGGTACTGTTTCTGGTGCAAAGCTAAGCAAATGTTGCCTCTCTTTGCTGCACATGTCCGTGTGTGTGTGTGTGTGTGTGTGTGTGTGTGTGTGTGTCTTTTCACACTTTTGCATTATTTATGCAGGGAACTAGGGTATCTGAGTGGGTATTTTCTATGGCTGAGAATCTCCAAAAGCGTGGTACAGTCAACGAAACGGACTACCCCTCCGGGGCTTCACAGCGAGACCCTACGCGGAGAACTGAGATCTTTGGCTCTGCTCTTGAGCGGTGGTAGATCCGGGGGATAGGTACCTCTCCTTTGAAGAGGGAGATCCAACCACGACCGAGACCCCCTTCAAGCGCAACATCCCCGTGTGCTGTGGTGGCATCCCAGGGCCCGTCGGTGCCTGGTACGTGCCATGAAAATGCAACGACAGCTGCTCCTGGAGCTGAAAATACATACTATATATGCATTTATTCCCTTTGCATATTGTAAATGCCTCATGCCTCGTGTCAAACTTCTAATTAACCCCGTAATTCATGCAACCACAGACGAGTCGAGTCGAGTCGAGTCGACTGCTTGCCATTATTGTTTGTTCGGCTCTGGGTAATTGTCGAGCAGAGCAGGGCAGAACAGAACAGAATAGTCAGCAGAATAAGTGGGAAACGTGAGCCGGCAAATAACCCACAAATTGATCCAATTTGTACGCAAAAAACAAAAGACAAATAAATATATCTACGAGCCATGTTTCAACGTAGAAAAAGATATAAGTGTGGGCTTTATCCTTTCGGTTTCAAGCAGTTTATTACGGTTTTATCCGTCAGCGCGTTCTCGCTGTCTTAAGCCACGTGCACCCCTCTCGCTCTTCCTTCCAGCGAGTAGCTTCTGCGCGAGCCCTCTCGCTCTTCCTTCCAGCGAGTAGCTTCTGCGCGAGCGAGTAGCTGCGCAACCGTGGCTTACTTTGTGCTTGCTGGAAATCACTATATGGCATACTTCATACAAAATGATTAATGCCATCAAATCAAGTCAGCTTTCGACTGAAGATTGAGCACCGATACCGAATCTTTAAATCTCAGAGGTAGCCACAAAGCGAAGGCCTTCCATTGTTTATGGTGTGTACAGCAAAATTCCTGTTGCCCTGCCCCTGAAAGTAGGCAACAAGTAGGCAAAATGGAGCACAAAATACACCCGCACTCGCTGAAGTTCAGCGTGTGTTCGAGACGAGAGGTCCAGAGTTCGAATACTGGCTGCGGCAGACGAAAGTCCTCAGAAATATTTTCTTTTTTCGTCTTTTTCTCACTGTTCAAACCTGTGTGTGTATATGAAACAGTGCAAGCCTCAACAAAATGTAGAATATTCACTCATCACTTTCTGGATACCGACCGAAATAAGCTGGGAACCTTGGACTTTTCATCTGCAAAAGCAATGGAAAGTCCATTGGGGCTCTCTCTCCCAGTGTGGCTTGGCAGTAGAGGGTGTAGCTGTTTAGTTTTCACTTTTCCACCCAGCATGAAAGTAAACAATGATGAAAAAAAGGCAAATAAATATTTAAATTGATTAAAATTTCATGAGGCAAGGCCACAGTAAAGTATGGGGCAAGTGCTGAGCAGAAATCACAATTAAAGCCGACTCTGTATATCGTAGTTTGCCAACAAAGTTGTATGGATTTCGGTAAAACTTGTGGCTCCGACTCCGACTCCGACTGAATGTCAATCTCGGGGGCTGCTGTCGTCGCAGCTGTCGCCTCAATGAAACATTCAATTGCAATTTATTTTGCGGCTGCAACGTAGACAACATCAACCGCAGCCAGCACTTAATACTCTGGCAGTTCAAACAACAGCAAAATCACAAGAAACAAGTCTGGGAAAACCCAACAAAGAAGAGTTCAAGAAAAGTCACACAAAACCGACATTGTTTTTTTGTTAAGGAAAAAACCTACCAAAAATATATGGAATATTTCTGGAAAAATTGATTGGAAATATATTTAATTTAAATATGTTCATATTTTTCTTTATTTCTTGTGGATATCCCATGACATCGCCAACCAATAAGTGGGCAAAAATTTGTGGAATATATCCAGATATTTTTACGACTGGCGGTCTACTGGACTGGAAGGGTAGCACAACTATTTTTTCCAGCCATACAGAAAAACTTGTCAAAGGCAACGGCCAAAAATGGGGAATTCGGGACACAAAAAAAAAAAAAAAATTCTGCCAATTTGTGTGCAATTTAAAGTGTCCAAAGGGGGTGGGGAGGGGAGGGGAGGGGGAGAGCCGGGAAGCGGTACATACATATCGTACTACTTCACGATATACACGAAAAAAGTTAGCAACTATTTAGCTCTGGGGCGGGGGGGGAGGGAAGGGGCTACAAAACTTGGCAGACACGGGACAAGGGACAAGGGACAAGGGACAGGGGACAGGGGACACAGATGAGCAGACCACAATGGACCTGACCGCCAGAGGGGCAGGGGCAGGGGCAGCCATAAAGCGTTCAACAGCAGTCACTGGGGAAAAGGATAAGGCGGATGCGGCGGGGCCGGGGCCGGGGCCGGGGGTAGGGGGCAAGTTTTTGAGGCAGCTTGTGCATTAACGCTGACCGAAAAATCTCTGCAGCTGAAGTTGAACTCTCTCCCTTTTTTTTTTTTGCGCTCTGCCCCAACAAAAAATTATTTCGCGGACAAAGCAGAGTCGCTCGTCGTCTTCCCTCCCCCTCTCCACCTCTCCCCCTCTCCCTTCTTGTTGTTGTAACAATAACGGCACATAACAAGTGGCAGGCGAGCGCATCGAGTTAGTTAGTTTGCCAGCAAGCCCCGTGCCCCATGCCGCATGCTTCATGCTACCCGCAACTCGGGAGATCCGACAATTCTGTGGTCTTGTTAGTCCAGGGGCTGGCTGGCTGGCTGGCTGGCTGGCTGGCTGGCTGGCTGGCAAGTTGGTTAAAAAGTTGTTGATGCAGTTACGCCCCACCCCTCCACCCCCCGCGCACCTCCTGCCCGAGCCCTGGACACAGGACATTTGTGCTAATGGCTGCCAACGACCTGTCAAGGGGGGGGGATGGGGGTGTTGCATACTCGCACGCCGCAGACGTAAGCGAAAAATTGCCACTCCAAACGAGAATAAAAGATGCGTTTTGGCCATGAAGTGGGGTTCGGGGAGAGGTGAGATTCCTGCAGAACATTGATATTTGAAATATTATTATTGGAAAAAAAAAACGATCAAATTTTGGTAATTAATATTGGGAATCCCCCTCAAGGGTACCATCCAATCTGCCAGTCTCGTGCTACAGCGACAGTTCGTGTTCCTCGACGAGCTCGTCCAGCAATTCCCCCACGACGTTCTCCTCCAGATCTTTCTGTGTCGGGGTCACCTCCTGCTGGGGCTGCAGGTCGGCTTGGAGCCGTAAGCCCGCCCCGTCTGGCTGCTGCTTGAGAGGTCCGTCCACCAGCGGTGGCTGTACCTTCTCCAGTACCACCACAGATGCCAGTGACGGTGTCTTACCCGATGACTTTGACTGCGACTCCTCGAGGACTGCCAGAGACGGCAGCCCCTCCGAGGGCTGAGCCAGCTGTGCCTCTGAGACCGAGGCCGAGACGGACCGAGACTTGACCTTCTCGATGAGTGCCTGCGACTTGACGGCCTTTACGAAATCATTGTCCAAATTGTACTTCTCAAAGTCCACGAAGCCAGACAGCAGCTCGTCCGCCATGGAGTCGATGATCTTTAGAGTGCCTTCAACTGATTCGTCGTCCAGATCGGCGTTGGACGGGGACTGGGCCTGGAGGGGGTCGTCGACGGCCACCGCCAAATTGTGGCTTGAAGTTGGGTCTTCTGTATACTTGGATTTGATAGAACCATTCCCCTCCTCAAGATCTGTGGCCTTTGGCGGCGTCTTCTGTTCCTCCTGAATCGTCAGCTTCAGATCGATGTCGGTCGTGAAATCGTTGGTCAGGAGCTTCATCTCGCGGTGGGTGAAGCGCATGTATTGCTCGTTCTCCCGCTGCATGGCCCGCTGCTCGTGCAGCAGGGGATCGGCCGAGGTGGGGATCAGCTGCTGCTTCACCTCCCGCTTGAGCTGCTTGACCTCCTTGGCCCTGACCTGCGACTCGGCGGAGACCAGTACCTGCAGCGGCGGGTGGGCCTGTGGGCAGAAGAACCACAGGTTGTACAGATGGGTGACCATGGGGCCGTGGAGCTGGGCATCCCAGGAGGTCTTCCACAGCAGCCCCATCACGGCCAGGCTGCTGGTCCAGCCCTCGTTGCGTTCTGCCAGGTCGACGTTTGTGCCGCGCTGACGGCCGCTCTCGAAGATCAGCATGCCAATGCACCGCTGGCTGCCGCAGGCGCCCAGCACCAGGGGCAGGCCCAGCGGCAGGCAGGCGGTCAGGTTGGGGCGCATCTCCAGCACGGCCACCGTCGGATGCTGCTCCAGGCAGTGGGCCAGGCAATTGGTGGCGTTCACGGCCATCTGGCAAACGGACAGGGGACAGCCGAAGGCCGTCCTCTGCAGCCGAACGACCCGCTCCTGGTGGGCGGCGCGGCTCATCAGCCGCTCGACACTCTTCCGCGTGGCCTCCTCCTCTCCGCCGCGCAGCGCCACATTCGCGGCCACGCTGCCGACGCGCATGTCGAGGTCCACGTAGAGCCGCCGCTGCTTCGCCCACAACACCTGGCTGGCCTGGTTGGCCTGCTTGGCCTGGTCCGCCAGGAGGCTGAGCCGCGTGTGCGAGACCACCACCTCGTCGGACAGATCCTCGTCGGAGGCACCGCCGTCCGTCGGCCCGGGCAGCCGCTGCTGCGAGATGATCGGCCTGGCGCCGGGCGCCCCCAGCGAGAACTCCGAATGGGAGTACCCCAGGCCCGCCGACTGGTGGACACCGCCCTCGTAGCTGCCCGAGGCGGTCTCCGTGTCGGAGGAGGAGCTCTTGGTGATGCTTCTGTTCATCGTTATGTGAGTATTTTCGTTTGTTTTCAATTTGGATGTTGTCGAATATAGAATTTGCTTAACAATGAATGAGCGATCTCGTTCCAATGGGGAATCCAAGACACATCTGTGTGCGTGTGTGTGGCACGAGAGGCAGAGACTACTACTCTGTGCCCCGGGCTTTCTGGGTTTTCTCCTAGAGATTGGTTTAATTTTGGACTGCTTTGATGGCTGGGATTCCTTGAGAAGTTGGCGCTGCTCTGAAACAATGCCTCAAACAGTTGTTGCATTTGCAATTTCCGGTATCGCACACACACACACACACGCACACGCACACAAGAAGGAAAATGTGTCAACCATAAGGCACAAAGCACAATAAAAACAAAACTCAAGCTCTCTCTCACTCCAAAGGCGCCGCCACCGCCGCGCAAAAAGGACTCCCCGACTCCGACTCCGACTCCGACTCCGGTCCAGTGCCAGGGTACAGTGCCAGCCAAAGCTGTATGCCCAGACGGCCCCTAATTGTATGTATCATTTTCAAACTACACTTTCGACACGCACTGTAGCCCTGCGCTTGGAGTCACGTGCATGCGCCATTTGTTTATGGCTTTCTCCTGGCTTTTACTTTGCTTTTACTTATTAGTTTGGCTTTCTCTACTCCACCAGCCTCTGCCTCTGCCTCTGCCTCTGCCCCCTCTGGCGTCTGCTCCTGTTTTTCCTGCAGTTTTACTGCAGTTTTTCCCCCCCCCCCCTGTTGTTGCTTTTGAGCTGCAATTGTCAGTCGACGAGAAAGGAGAGAGAAAGCAAAGGAAAGCAAAGGAAAGCCATAAAGCTCTTCACAATCCAAGATTTGTTGACATCTTAAAGCCCAGTCCTGTGCAGCCAGGACTTTAATTGAGTTCTCACAATTTGTGACATTCCGACAGTTATCCCCCACACAGAAATTCGTACCTTATGCGGATATTGGCTGGGCCTCTTACCTGAAAGCAAAAAGAGAAGGCATCATGAATGAGCTTGTTCCGAATAAGTTGGAGAAAAGATATGGCCATGATCTCGGGGCAAATATGAAGACAAATTAAGCCCAAATCGGGTGTGGGCCGGAGCTGTCTGAACACTCATTGCGAAAGGGTTAATTGAAGCAATTTTCAGTCAACTTGAGCTCAAGAGGGAGGCAGGAGGCTCCCCTCTCATCTGCAGTATAAAGTCCATAAACTTGCAAAATGGCGGCCACGCACAGGCACATACAGGGATACACAGACGGACGACACCCAGGCACCCAGTTGCATCCCTTTGCACCCGTTTGGAATTTCCATCTGCCTTCTGTCGGTGGCTCTGCCAGGGCCTCTGTCTCTGTCTGTGCCACTGCCACTGCCTGTGCCTCTGTCTCTGTCTCTGCCACTGCCACTGCCTGTGCCTCTACCTACTACTGTCTTAACAGCAACGACGTGTAAAACAATTGTGCCTCGCAGTTAATTTGTGTGCAACAACAGGACCTCCCTCCATGGGTGATACGGAATACTCCCGGCTGGGACACGACAATTGAAAAGGCAATGCGGCTGCAGTGTGCCAAAGTTGATACGAAATTAATGTTAATTGCGGCGCGAGTGGGGGCCATCTGTGGCGATGCAATTAACCGAAAATGCATTTAACAAGCTGAAAGAAGAGCTCAAGGAGCTGCTCCAGCCAGCGATGAGTCGACGAAAGAGTCTGGCGACAGGCAAGGAAATGATGGATGAGTGTCGTTTGAAAAGGGGATGCAGGCAATCGATAATGGCAATAAATCCATTTGAGATCTACCGAATGGAAAACCGAATTGAACGAGGTATCGCCGTTTCCACACGGGCCAGAAATGTGCCACAGAGGCAATCGATTAGTGGTGAAAACAAAGTACATGTCTTGCGCATGACACGAGCAAACAAATTGCATGTCTTGGGCATGACGGGCCTCAATATTCGTTGGCCTTTTGCGGTGTTTCTGGGCCAATCCCCAATTTCTCAATCATCGATCATCTTCATCGACCAATCAATCGAATTCACCTTTTCACCGGGCCCGATAAGTCCCTCTTAAGTCCTTTGCCATCCGCCATCCGCCTCCTTCCGATGCCATTCGATTCTTTTATATTCCCTTCCCTTGGCGCCCCGCCGTTGTTGATTTGCTTTGTTTTGCTAGCGAATTGAACAACTTTTCCAGCTGTCTGGCAGCTTTCGGCATTCCCATGACCCCCCCCACCCCCAGCACCACCACCAGCCCAGGCCCATCGTATCCCCTGCTCTGGCACTCTGTTCTGCTCGAGGCACGGTCCATGGCATTCTCCATGATGTGGCACAAATGGCAATGCGCTTAACGTGTTTCGTGTCTCGTGTCTCGTGTTCCGTGTTGCTGCTGTTGTCATGCATTGTGTGGCGCTGACACTGCAGCAATCGACAGCAGCAACAAAGCCCCATCGCTGGGTTGAAGGAGTGAAGACACCTTGGCCCACGCACTGACAATTTATAAAAGCCACAACAAATGTCTGAGGCTGTAAACTTTCCGTAAATCTTTGCAGCAATGTCTGCCAAAGGCAACGTGCAACGTGCCACCGTGCCACCGTGCCACCGTGCCACAGAAAAGGCAATGGCAAGACAAGGACGATGACGATGACGCTGTCGTCACGCGGATATGCCGGTACGACTCTGAAGGATTTTCATGGCTGGCAACATTTCTCTTTTGTTGTTGTTGTTGTTGTTGTTGTTGTTGCCGTGTTGCACACGTTCGCTGTTGCCGTCATCTTGTCAAAGCTCCAACACGTTTCCCGTGTCCCAGTCAAAATAATAACCTATCGACTGGTCGACTGGGCGAATGCTCTTTCAAGAATTTTCCAAAATTTTCACATATTTCTACACTTATTTTTTGCTTTTCCACATTTATTATATTGCTCGGAAAAGGGCCTCGGGCCCTCGGGGCTACACCCAAGCCCTGGCTGAGGGTATCCAGAGGCCGTCTTACCGGCGCCTGCTCTCCCAGTCCCACCCCCAGTCCCCGTCTCCCTCTCCGTCCCTGTCCCCAGCCATCAGCTGTTGTCCGTGGAGGCAGCTGGGGCTCCTCCATTGTTATTGTTGGTGCATTCTTTGCTTTCATTAGTCTAATCCAGACATGATCATGCATATATTGGTACCTGCCCCTCTGCCTGGAGGCCACTCCTGGTGGATGCTTAAGCGTTCATAACATTTTCATTTTTAATATACACAAACATGTGCATGTGCTGGGCCCAGGCTGCCTTGTTTTTAGTCCTTTTTGCATGGCAAACTTTTCTTTCCTTTTTTTGGTTTTTATGTAAATTCCATGGCTGTTGTTGTTTTACTGTTTCTGTTTGCCATTTGTGCACCTGTGTGCCAGTCCCATCCGAGGACTTTGCTATTCCCCTTAGAGCCTATCAACCATAAAGATTTCGTTTTCATGTCCCACAAACAACACAGGAAGGAGTCGAGGAGTCGAGGAGTCCAGCAGTCCAGGAGTCCAGGAGTCCTCCTCCTCCCCATCTAATCGAATCAAATTTCCTTTAAACATACTTTTCAGGTCACTTTTCAAGTTTCCCAGGCCCGAAAACACTTGACAATCTTTGGCTGGCCACAAAAGTTTCAATTGCCGGCTCAAACCAACAATTTTCAGCCTCAAAGTTCAAGGGGATGGCGGGCGGGGAGAAGCTGATGATCCAAAAATCAAATTGAACAAAACTTTTGCGAAACAAAAATGCTCTGTGATGTGAGGGGGGGGGGGGGGGGGGGGGGGGGGGGAGGACCTTCTTTCCATTTTGTGGCCATTGCAGATGGCTTGTGGTATAATCTGGGAAATTAATTGAAACCGAAGCATGTTGGGAAGCCATCAAATAGAAGAAGTAGCTACAGAGAGCCACACAGCACGGGAGAAGGCCAATGATTGATTAAACTAAGCCTTCTCTCAGAGAGGTGGGGGGGGCCTTCGTTGTGCATCGATTCGAATCGAATCGCCACAAAGCGAGTAGGGGGGGGCGAGTCGTCAAGTCAAGAGTCAAGACCAGTCATCATCAAATGAGATTAGACAGTCGGCCGGGAGATTAGACATTTCCATCGACGCGACAAGACGGATAGACGGTGGCATCTGTCATCGCCGTGTTGCTTGGGCGAGTGGTGTTTTCTGCTGTTCTTCGGGAGTACTTTTCTCCACGCAGCAGACAGTGTAGTAGCCATGAAACTGCATTCAGATACAAACAATATATTGAACCACTATTCTGTCGCTGTTGCCGTCGCTTCCTGAATCAAAGCAGATCGATAATAGCGAGAAAAAGACAACTTTCCGTCGAGAACTCGTCTCGAACACACGCTGAACTCCAGCGAGTGCATGTGAGCGATTTCGTTGCCTACTTTTAAGGGCAGGGGAACCTTGGGCTACCTCTGGGATGGAAAGATTCGCCTTGGATAATATTCAATGGGAAACCATTCGTAGTTCCCAATGCCAAGCCGCATATCAGTCTCGGCAGCGCTATTCAGAAATGCGAAATACTCGAAATAATTACAAGTAATCACAATAAACGGGCATAAAAAATGAAGCAGCCCCCAAAGAGGAGCCCGAAGATCCCGTGACGGTCATAAATATGATGATAATTAAGTGTGTCTCGCACATATACTCGCAATTTAGCCTTATTAACCCAAAAAATGACACAGATATTAATTTTCCACACACATACGGCCACACATGCACGCTCCCTGGGCCGCCCACTTCGTCCTGGCAGCCCCCGGCGACGCCTTGGCATAAAGCCTAAACGTAAACGAGTAAATTGGCAAATTTAAGCAGTAAACAACAGAAAGGGCCAACAAAACAGGGCCCAAACAACACAGGACCACCCCTCCACACCCTCCATCTGTCACTCTTTTTCCCACTTTCTCTCTCTCCCTCTGTGTGTGTGGGGGGGGAGGGGGGGGGGGGGCTCTGTGTGTTAAATAAAAAATGTCAAGATTCCATTGACAGCTGAGACTGTAACCGATTGTGGCCATGTGGCAAAAACAAAGACATAACCGTGCCACATAGGCGTGGCACATGGATTTTCAGTTTTGGTTGCATCTCTTGCAGCACCCTGCATCGAAGCGGGGCGCGAAACGGATCGAAAAGGCAGCA